AAATCATATTTATTCTTATAATAAGGTACTGTATTTATTGTAATATAAGAATATTATATTATAGTAAATAACATGTATTATATATATATATATAATAATAATAATAATTTATTTTTAACTCGTTCTCTCTCCCCAAAGAGACTCAGACCTGCAATAACTTAACAATATTAAAGTATTATTGTAATTTGTTATGATAGAAGAATATTATATTATACTAAAGAATATGTATTATTATATTAAAGTATTATTATAGCTTATTGGAATATAAGAATATTATATTAAAATACAGAATGACATTTATTCTGATAATACATGATTATTAGTGGTATTATTAGTCTTATTAAGCACCCACTTTTCCTTTGGGTTGGAGGCAAGGCACAGCACTGGACATCCTCCTGCCTTTGCAAGAAAAGGACTCCAAGATCTCCAAAGGTCTGCCTTCGCTCAGCATCAGGGCCTCCTATGGAGCTGCAACCTTGCAGAGGCTGGGCTGCAACGTCCAGCACTCCCGTTGCCAGAGCCCCATAGCATTGCAGTGGGGCCCAACTGCAGTTGAGAACCAGGGCCCTTTCCTGCCCCAAATCCGGAAGATCTGAGTTCCAAACTCACTTGGGGACAGCCTTGCATTCTCCCTCCTCCATCCGCTTTCCCTACACAGGTCCCCCGGTTGCCTAGCGACCATGGAACGTTCCCCGAGCGGGGTTGCCTAGCGACCGTGAGACGCTGGACTGGTGTAGTTTCTTCATTGGTGGACCGCTTTCCCACGTTGCCCAGCAACGCCGAGAGGCGGAAATGTCGAAAACAAAAAACATATGCGCCCAAACCACGCCCGGTAGGCGGAATAATGTCGCGGAGGGGCTGCCGTGGCGGAGAGGATAGGGCCTCTGTTTATTGCTGTCGTCGTACTTATGTGAGCGTCGTGTGTGGCTCCTAATTGTACCTTTTGGAAGAATAGGTAATAGATAGCCTGGTGGGGGTTTGTTCGTCGTTCGACTGAAAGTTCCGCGGTATTAGCACTCCTTGCGAAGAGCAAGACTGCGTTTGCCCGGTCGATGGTGAAGAAGGAAGCTAGGGGGACGGTATTAAACAAGAAAGGCTTCAGAGGAAGGAAGGCCTCTTCTAAGCCACTTTGGAGTGGAAAGGGAAGGATGGAAGGATACGAAGTGATAAGAATGTGGGACGGTGAGGCTAGGTATACCAGGAGACGGAAAGTAGACAGGAGTTTGAAAGTTGTAGTGAGTTGTGGGTTCAAGCGAAGGTAACGGGAAGAATCTGTGCGCAGGACATAGGTTCAGTGTTATGGTAAGGAAGAGATCTCATTTTTTTGCAAGACGTGGTATCCTCGAGTCTACTGGTTTAGTGAGTGCTAGTGAAGGAGTATGACGCTAGGGCAGAGGAGGAAGAGATGATGGATAGGTAACGCTGCACGTGGCCGAACGAGAATGAGGGCAAGAACAGACAGATAGGGAGGGAGGATGAAGAGGGAAAATCAATGACTTGAGAGATGGAAGGGAGAGAGCGAATGACATGAGGGATGTAAGAAGGACAAAAAGGTGTTCTTTTCTTATTCAATCTATGGATAAAACTTCATAACCAGCAGAATCTTGATGTGAAAATGGGATTAAGCTTCTAAGAAGGAGAAAACAAAGAAAGGAGAGGAGAGAAGGGTGAGGAGGAGAACTAGAGGAGGAGAAAAAGAAGGGGAAAAATGGGGAAACGGGTGAGAAAGAAAGAAAAAAAAGAGTAGAACTCAAGGAGGAGGAGAAAGCGAAGAAGAAGAATATAAAGAGGAGAAAAAGAAATCAATAAAGCAGGAGAAAACAAAGAAAGGAGAGGAGAGAAGGGTGAGGAGGAGAACTAGAGGAGGAGGAGAAAGCGGAGGAGAAAAAGAAGGAAGAAGAAGGAAAGGATGAAAGAAAGGAAGGAGGAAGGAAGGAAGAAAAGAAGGAAGGAGAAAGAGGAGGAGAGGGAAGGAAGGAGGGATGAAAGGGTGGATGGGAAGGAAGGAGGGAGGGAGAAAGAGAGGAGGGAGGAAAGGGGGAAGGAAGGAAGGATGAAAAGGGTGGAAGGGAAGGATGGAAGGAGAAAGAGGGAGGTAAGGAGGAAGGAGAAAGAGAAGGAAGGAAAGACAAAAGGGAAGGGAGGAAAGAAGGGAGGACAGGAGGAAGGAAAGAGAGAAGATGAAAGGGGGGGTAGGTGAAAGGAGGGAGGAGAGGAAAGAGAAGGAAGGAAGGATGAAAGGGTGGAAGGAAGAGGGAGAGAGAAAGAGGAGGGAGGGAGGAAAAGAGGGAAGGAAGGAAGACAAAAGGGAGAGAAGGGAAAGAGGGAGGGAAGGAAGGACAAAGGGAAAAGGGTGCAAGGGAAGAATGGAAGGAGAAAGAGGGAAGGTAACGTGAGAAGGATGTAAAGGGTGGGTGAGTGTATGAAGGGCAGGAGGAGGACGAGAGAACGAAGGAAAGAGATAAGGGCAGAAGAGAATGGAAGGAGAACAAGCGGAGGAGAGAGGGAGAGAGGAAAGATGCAAAGGGAGAGAGGACGGAAGGAAGGGTGGAAGGGAAGGATGGAAGGAGAAAGAGGGAGGTAAGGAGGAAGGAACGAGAGAAGGAAAGACAAAAGGGAAGGGAGGTGGAAGGAAAGAAGAAAGGAAGGGAAGGAGGAAAGAAAGAGAGAAGGAAGGGAAGACAAAAGGGAGGAAGGGAAGGGAAAGACAAAAAGGAAGGAAGAGAAAGAAAGAAAGAAAGAAAGAAAGAAAGAGGGAGAGAGAGAGAGAAGGAAGGAAGGATGAAAGGGTGGATGGCAAGGAAGGAGGGAGGGAGAAAGAGAGGAGGAGGAAGGAAAGAAGGAAGGAAGGAAGGACAAAAAGGGTGAAAGGGAACGGATGGAAGGAGAAAGAGGGAGGTAAGGAGGAAGGAAAGAGAAGGAAAGAAAGAAAGACAAAAGGGAAGGAAGGAAAGAGAGGGTGAAAGGGTGGGTGTGTGGGTTGGAAGGAAGGAAGTGTAGGAGGAAGGAAAGAGAGAAGGAAGGAAGGATGAAAGAGTGGAAGAAAATGGTAGGAGAGAGAAAGACAGAGGGGAGGGAGGAAAGAGGGAAGGAAGGAGAAAGGGAGAGAGGGAAAGAGGGAGGAGAGAAGGAAAGACAAAAAGTAGAGAGGGAGGAAAGAGGGATGGAAGGAAGGACGAAAAGGGTGCAAGGGAAGAATGGAAGGAGAAAGAGGGAGGTAAGGAGGAAGAAAAGAGAAGAAAGGAAAGACAAAATGGAGGAAGGGAGGACAGGAGGAAGGAGAAGGAAGAAGGACAAAAGGATGGAAGGGAATGGGGAGAGAGAAAGATGGAGGGGAAGGAGGAAAGGGAAGGAAGGAAAGAAAAGGAAGGGAAGGAAGGAAAGACAAAGGGGAAGGAAGGAAGGAAGGAAGGAAGGAAGGAAAGAAGGAAGGAAGGAGTAAGAGAGAGAGGGAAGGAAGGAAGGACGAAAGGGTGGGTGGGAAGGAAGGAAGGAGAGAGGAAGAGGAAGAGAAGTGACGATGGGAAGGAGGACTCCTAGGGAGATCATGAGGGGGTGTCAGAGGGTTCACAAAAGACCATCAGAAAACAGTATATTCTGTTGGTTATGGGGGTTCTGTGTGGGAAGTTTGGCCCAATTCTATCATTGGTGGGGTCCAGAATGCTCTTTGATTGCAGATGAACTATAAATCCCAGCAACTACAACTCCCAAATGGTATGGTCTATTTTCCCCAAACTCCACCAGTCTTCACATTTGGGCCAAGTTTGGTCCAGATCCATCCTTGTTTGAGTCCACAGTGCTCTCTGGATGTAGGTGAACTACAACTGCCAAACTCAAGGTCAATGCCTACCAAACCCTCCCAGTATTTTCTGTTGGTCACAGGGGTTCTGTGTGCCAAGTTTGGTTCAATCTCATCACAGGTGGAGTTCAAAATGTTCTTTGATTGTAGGTGAACTATAAATCCCAGCAACTACAACTCCCAAATGACAAAATCAACCCCCCCCCCCCCAATCCCACCAGTATTCAAATTTGGGCATATGGGGTATTTGTGCCAAATTTGGTACATTGAATGAAAATACATCCTGCTTATCAGATATTTACATTACAGTTCATAACAGTAGAAAAATTAGTTGTGAAGTAGCAACAAAAATGTTATAGTTGGGGGTCCCCACAACATGAGGAACTGTATTAAGGGGTTGCGGCAGTAGGAAGGTTGAGAATCACTGCTCTACAAGATATCCAGTCATTGAGAAACTAGAGCCAAATGTGTTATAGCCGGATGTCCCTCCTGCAAAGTTTTGACATTTTAATCAACTTTTCCCAGGTGTTTACGATAGTACCAATTAGGAAATAAACCAGGAACAAAATCATAGTCCAGGAGAGGAGTTGTTTCTTTTCACAAAGGGACCATGGGTGGGAGCAACTCTCAACAATGTGATGGCAAATCAACTGAGACCTACTGAATAAAATGGATAATTTGATAGTGTGTGATGGCGGTAGGAAAACCCATTTAATTTCAAAACAGAGTATGCCTGAGCTGTATGGTAAACCTACTCTTGCAAACACTTGACATGTTCAGTGGGATGGAGCCTCTAGAGAGGTGTCTTCCCTCTGGTTAAAAAATATAGTGTTATTATTTTTTAAACTATAGTTTGTCTACTTTGGCATCCCTTCACATGGAGGGCAAGGTCTTGCTTTCCCTCGCAGTAACACCTACCTGCTTGGACAACAATTCCCCTGGTACGAGACTTGTGTGTGGACTGATGGGTCTTCATGGGATGTCAGAAGCTGTGATCCAGTGTGCCTCTGAGTGTGTACAAACTGCATACATTCTTGGGAAGTTTACTTTCCAGACTACAACTCCCAGCATCCTGCACTTTGGCTGGGAGATGCTAAGCTAAGTCAATGTCTCTGAGCTCTGTGTCAAAATGCCAAGAAATGCCCCAACGGCAACAAATCCCCACCAGATCCCCGAGTGATGAATTGGAGTCCAAGGCGGGTTGAAAACACCCGAATCCACATTTTTATTCACATTTTATTAAGGGTGCCAGTCAAGAGGGAGCACTCACAAGGGGGAGGGGGAGTTTACATTCCACAGCATTGACAAGTTGGACGACGTGAAAACCCTCTGGAAGAGAAAAGGGAAGGAATGAAGGAAAGAAGCCAGTGAAGCGTGGCACTTGCCAATACCACCTTTGGGTGAAAAGGAGCTTTTTGGGCAAGAAAGGAAAGGACAGAGTGGCATTCCAATGACAATGGGCCAACCAATTGACACTCCATCACCCTTTGCCTACATCTGCTGGCCCTTCGTACTCCTTCAAATACAAGAACATCATTGGAAGGCTTCTATATTCTCGGATGTTCTGTGAGGGTGGTCCATTCCCTGCCCCTCTCCAGAGCCTTATGCCCAGGGACATACCCCAGATGGGCACTGCCACCTCAGGTCTTCTGTTTCTTGAAGAAAAGGAAGGAAAAACCTGCTCCACGACATCAAGTAAAGCACAGAAAATAAGGCATCTGATCGAGTCGAGTCTCCCAATCCATATATTGAGATATATGGCCTCGAAAGAGAAGACAAAAACAAAAGAGGGACCCTGGCATCTTTCGGGGTCACGTGGGTTCTGTATTTTGGTTTTATATGCAGAGGGGTCTAAAAGGACAAAAGAGGGGCAAAACGTAGCCTGTTTCGGGCTCCTTTACAATGGCCCCACCAGCCAATCCTTTCTGCGTCCCAGACCCCCTCCGTTCAGCTCTTTCCATTCCCATCACTTTTTACAAAATCTTTTTCAAATGACATTTTAAAATTCAACCCCCTTCTCGGCCTTGATCTCCTTTGACGCCGTCCACTCCCTGCTCTGCTCTATTTTTCGGAAAACTCAGACATGTATAAAACTCTGCAACTCCTTTTAAAATAGCAGCGGGATTTTGTGGGCTTTGGCAAACTGCTGCTAGGAAAAGACCCATCCTTTAAGACCAGCTCAAACCCTCCATCGACATGATTCATTCCAGGATTCCATTCCGGATGCCCTCCGCTGCAGAGGACATCCCGAAAAAGTAAACTTTTCAAGTAAAAAATAACAGGATAAATGCTGCTACAATCACACTATTATTTTGTGGAAAAAAATTCAGACAGAGCTAGACTCGTCTTCATGACCTTTTTGTGTTCACCTCCTCTTTACACACTATAGAAATCCCAACAAAAATAATTGTATATATATATATCCTTATATATGTATCTCATATATATATATACACAAATATATATAAATAAATAAGAAGCAAATAAATAATGGAGGAGTGAAAGGACCACAGAGTTTGGTGGATATTTGTACAGACTCCGTCTGCATGTGTATAAATATATATGTATGTATGTCTATACTATAGAAATAGAACACATTGTACAGAAAGGGGTGCCAGGAAGGGTGGGAAGAGGCGCTGCTAGGGAAAGAGGGGATCTGTGGGGGATTCCTCAGTGATCTCCGGATTGGACCTGGTGGTGGGCAGAATGGTGGCATGAGGGAAAACCCTGAATTTCCTTATTGCTCATTTGCAAGCCCAGGGCAAGGTGGCGGATGGCCGTCGGTTGGGCCGCCATGTGCTCTCAAGCCAAAAGACAGTGTGAGATAGGCAGCTCTAGAGTTTCCAAGGGCACAAAGGGCCTGAAAAAGACCATGCCAGGATGCCCTGGATGCCCACCTTTCCCAAAGGCGTAAGATACCCAAATCAGCTGGTAATCAGGTAGCAATGCCTCCACAGCATCGTGTTGGCAAGGTGGTGGCACCAAAACCACAGGACTGGGGTTGAGAGAGTGGTGTGCAATGTGGCATTCAGGCTGGCAGCCTTGGTTGCAGCCATGCCGGCATCCCATCCAAAAGGAATGGCATAGGCAGGTGCCTCCCATGCCAGTGCAGCAGTGGATGTGTGCCAGGGTACAGCCTGGGTTGCAAAGGAGCTCTCAGTGGTGCCGAACCCTATTGCTCCTAAACACATTCAGTACCATGGAGAGCTCCTTGGCATAACGCCTGGCACGGATTCCCCCAGCTACCTGCACCTGCCTGATCTCATCTGGAATACCTCCTCCCCAGTTTGCCTGGTCTCTGCCCATCCCTGGGCGATGATGACACTGAGGCCGTGTGCATCTGTGTGTCTTGGGGTATGTGTGCTTTCTACAGAGATGGCACTAGGGGGTGTTTCCAGGTCGTGTCGGCCATCAGCAGCCGCAGCAGCCATACTGTATCACAGCTGGATCTTGCTGTACCCACCGGAGCTCAGATTGGATGCCCTGGGTGAATCTGGGCAGTGGCAGTGGAAAGGGACCGGCCCAACTAGACAAAGGAGGAAGCCGGTTTGTGACGGAGTGCTTACAGAGAGTCCTCTGTCTGGCTTGACTCCTCTTCCATGGAGATCTCTACAAAGAAAGGTTTGAGGTATGCCAAGGTTCATTTGTCAAGATGCTACTAGTTCAGAGGTCCTTTCCCAAAGGGACACAATCTGGACACTGAACCCGGCTTAAAAGGCCATCGCAATTCCCCAAAACGTGGCACCGTCTCATCTGAGCGGGTTCCAAACACAAGTCCAAAGAAAGAGCTCTTTCCCACGGACTGTTCCCTTCCAACAAGTGCAAACCCAGTGTCCTCCAAAGGCACAGTCTCTAAATGGTTAGGAGTACCAATGGGTTTATCGCCAGGCGGTTTCTGTTTCCGCCTCGGATTTAGAGGCCATTCAGAAAAGGGGGCACCTTGGGGAAAAAATCCTGATCTATAGACTTTAAAAAATATATATGTATAACAGGGGGAGAAAAGGCGGGGGAACAATCCAACACACGCTGTTGCCCCACAAATATGTCCATCTTTGGAAAACCAAGGCCTGGGAGTTGTGGGAAGCCACAAGTCTTGATGCAACCAGGTTTGGGAAAAAAAGGGGGGGGAAAGAACAAGATCAATGATTTCTTCATCCTAACTTGTAGGTTTAAAAACGCCACTTTAAAAAAAATCAAATCCCATTTTGTGAGTGCATAAAAATATGTTGGGAATCCCTGCATGGTTTTGCCTTTTTAAAAAATTCTGTGTAGATTTCAGCTTGGCTGTGTCTCGGAGAGGAGTGTGGCCACGGCCACGGCCCCGAGGGCTTTGGCTGCCAGCTCCTCCGTCCCGCAGAGGGATTCTGAGGATGCCTTCTCCCGGCCCAGCAAGACTCAGAAGATGTCAGGGCAGGTGCGCCAGTCCTGTTGCTCCTTGGCCTCCCAATATCCCCCTTTGTACAGGCAGATGAGCTCTCCCGTGGCTGGGTCCACCTTGCGCTCAAACCACAGTGGCACGTAGCCTTCGTAGTCTTTGCCTGTGAGACAAGAAAGAACATTTTAGAGAATACCCAACTCAATTAAAATGAAGGACATCCTGTGTGGGGATACCGTAGTCGCAGTAGAGGACCTGGAAAGTGCCTAGAGCAGGGGTCCCCAAACCAAGGCCCACGGGCCAAATGTGGCCCTCCAAGTCCTTTACCTGGCCCTCAATCTAAATTTTAGACTTAGGGTTGCCCTAAGTCTGAAACAATTTGAAGGCAGAAAACAACACTCCTAATTCGAATTCTTTTATCATTTTATATCTTATGTTTATTCCATTGTATTATTTTGTTATTGTTTGCACTTTATTTGATGTTATTATCTTCTGTATGTATTTTATTTTGCTTTATTGTAATCTTTGGGCTTGGACTCATGTTAGCCGCCCCGAGTACCCTTGGGGAGATGGTGGCAGGGTATAAATGAAAATTATTATTATTATTATTATTATTATTATTATTATTATTGTTATTATCTCGACTCTCCATCAACCCAAAGCAGGCCCACATTTCCCATTGAAATACTGGTAAGTTTGGTTAAAATTGTTCTTCCCTTTAAATATTGTATTGCTCTTTCATTTTCATTTTTTTTTTTGCAATAGAAAGAAGATATGTGCAGTTTGCATTGGAATGCATTCCTTTTTTTTTTTCAAACTATAATCCAGCCCCACAATAGTCTGAGGGACCATGAACCGGCCCTCGGTTGAAAATGTTGGTTTGTCGAATAAGGTACCAGCCCCATGGATACCGTCCTGGAATAGCCACCACCCCTTAGTGCAGAGCCTCTGAATTTATTCTAAACTGTGTCTAGAATAGCTTAATCCAGACAAGACCAGAGGTCCTCCTGGTCAGTTGTGGGGCCGATTGGGGTACAGGTAGCAACCTGTGCTCGACAGGGTTACACCCCCTGCCCCCCCCCCCCCCGGAAGGCCTAGGTCCGCAGTCCTGGGGTCCTCTTGGATTCAGCGCCAACGCTTGATGCTCGGGTGTCAGCGGTAGCCGGGAGGGCCTTTGCACAGTTAAGGCTTGTGCACCAGCTGCGACCATACCTTGTGAAGTCTGACTTTGCCACGGTGGTCCATGCCTTGGTTACATCCAGACTAGACTATTGTAACACACTCTATGTGGAGCTGCCTTTGAAGACGGTCTGGAAATTCCAACTAGTGCAAAGGTCGGCAGCCAGGCTTCTTACTGGAGCCAATTATAGGAAGCGTACAACACTCCTGTTAAAGCAGCTCCATTGGTTGCCGATAAGCTGCTGGGCCCAATTTAAGGTGCAGGTCATGACCTATAAAGCCCTAAACGGTTCAGGCCCGACCTATTTCCATGATCACATCTCCCCCTATGAGCTGGCTCTTAGATCTATCAGGGAGGCCCTTCTCTCACTCCCACCATGGTCTCAAGTCATGGGAGTGAAGGAGAGGGCCTTCTCGGTGGTGGCCCCCCATCTCTGGAATGCCCCCCCCCCCAGAGAGATTAAGAAAAGCCCAGTCACTAGCCTCCTTCCACAAGGACCTGAAAACCTGGTGGTTCCAGCAGGCTTTTGGAAATTATTAGCTCCAAGCCCTACCCTGGCCACTAGTTAGGTCCCTGCTTAGCACCCTACATACTTTCCCAGCCCTTTGCTACTAACCCTGGTCTAGTCCTACTATAGTTATTCAGCAGGCCCTGGAAATGAAGAGCCCTAAGCTCCACCCCGGCCATTAGTTAGGGCCTTGTTATGTACTTTACCCATTTCCCCGGCCCTATGTTTCCTCATTGGCCCAGTCCTCTTGTGTTTATGAAGCAGGACTTGGAGATAAATAGCTCCAGGTCCCACCCTGACCATCAGATAGGCCATGCTTGCACTTTATCCACTCCCCGGGCCCTAGTCCACCTCATCATACTAGCCCAGCCCTTTTGTAGTCATTGAGGCCCACTTTGAAATCTTGGCCATTGGGATCTGAGCTGTTTGATGTAATTAGTACCAAACTGGTTTTTAATTTTTTTAATATGTATGACTGTTATACAGTACTGTTTATTTTTATGATGATTTCTGTATGATCCTATGTCGGTAATTGCAATGCTTTACCATGATGGAAACCGCCCTGAGTCCTCTTGGAGAGATATAGCAGTATACAAATGAAGGATATTATTTTGAAAGCCAAGATGTTTACTAGGCTTTGGGTTGAGTTTCCCTTTGTTCTCACATGTTGGGAGGACCATGGTGCCTTCCTCACCAGTCCCCTTCAACCCACCTTCCTCCAGGGCCTCGGCTGCCTCTGCCTCTCGCCTCCGCCTCACGGCCCGCTGCTTCTCCTCCAGCCGCTGCTTCTCCACATTGGCCTCGTCCCACTTGCCATTCTCCATCAGCCGCTGGTCGGGACGCAGGCGGCTGTCAGTAGGCGCCGTCCCGTCTTCTGGCTCGTTGAGGGTCAAGGCCAGGCCAGAGAAGTAGTACATGTTTTCAGCGTTCTCCCTGCAGAGGAAAGAGCAGGTGAGCGACAGGACAGTAGTAATGCTGGGGGACAGGCCCTTGTTTTTCCGACTCACAGCAGCCTCTTTGCCAAGAGGCCAGGACCCATGTTAAAATGAGATAGGGGCTGCAAAGCTTTGGATCTTTTGGCCTCCACTGTTGAAGGTGGCTGCATCCCTTTCTGTCATATTTATTTATTTACTATATTTCTATCCCGCCTTTCTCAAACCTGAAAGTGACTCAAGGTGGCTTACAACCAGGCAGCCATTTGATGCCTTGACAATATACATTTAAAACCACATTTAAAACAGAATTACAAAGTACATACAATAAGACCTTTAAAAACATATAAAACCAATATATAAAACCAGTACCTTCACTGTTAGCCTCGTTGTCCAAAATTATCGTCTGAGCCATTCCAATATTCAATTTCACATAATTCCATGTTTGTCTATTGTGTAAATTTCAAAGGCTTGTTCATATAGCCACGGTTTCATTTTTTTATGGTAGGTCAAGGGGGGGGGGGGGGTGATCTAATATCCCTAGGCCAAGGGGCCACCACTGAGAAGGCCCTGTCTCTCGCCCACACCAATTGCGAGAACTCCTAGAAGGTTCATAGGGACATAGAATATTAGTCGCTCCAAAACGGTCTCCTGACAAGGCAATTCTGAGTACCCAGGATGGTGGTCCCTCTGGATTAAGGATGGTGCTGTTGAATGCCAGATCTATCAACGGTAAGACAGCTTTCATCCAAGACTTAATTCTGGATGAACGGGCAGATCTGGTGTGCATAATGGAGACTTGGTTGGTTGAGGCTGGAGGTGTAAATCTGACCCAGCTTTGTCCACCAGGTTCTTCTGTGCAGCACCAGCCGAGATCCGGAGGGCGGGGAGGTGGGGTTACGGTGGTCTATAAGGATTCCATCCCCCTGACCAGGTGCCCCATTCCTCAGTCAACCAATTTTGAATGTGTCCACCTGAGGGTAGGTGACTGGGACAGAATAGGGATTCTGTTAGTGTACCATCCACCCCACTGCACTACAGTCTTCCTACCTGAGCTAGCCGGGGTGGTCTCGAGCCTGGCATTGGAGTCCCAATGGCTTTTAGTGCTGGGGACTTCAACGTTCATGCAGAGACCACCCTTTCAGGAGCGGCTCCGGACTTCATGTCTGCCATAATAATAATAATAATAATAATAATAATAATAATAATAATAATAATAATACTTTATTTATATACCGCTCCATCTCCCTGAGGGGACTCAGAGCGGTTCCCAGGTAACATCACAAAACATATAAAGTAAAAACAACATAACCATAAGATTAACAAAACAATATAAGCATAAAAATTGTCACCATAACACACATATATTAAAAGTAATCCTGCCTGTTCAAGGCAATTTAAATTTTAAAAGACCGGGCCAAGATTTGTGCAAGCCCAAAAATTCTAGGGGACCCGGGAATTAAGTGCAATGCTATGGCAGACAACAATAATATTAGGTACGGGTCTGTGGCTGTTCATTCCGGGGCCGATTAGAGGAAAGAATCTGGATAATTGGTAGGAAGAATAAGGCCATATTCGACAATGTGTAGGGCTGAGTTAGAACTGGTCATTTTCAAACCACTAGGTCTTCAAGCTCTTACAAAAGGAGGGGAGGGATGGGGCCTGTCTTATTTCCCTTGGAAGGGCATTCCAGAGGCGGGGGGCCACCACCGAGAAGGCCCTCTCTCTCGTCCCCACTTGAGACGGTAGTGGGACCGAGAGGAGGGCCTCCCCAGAAGATCTTAGAGCTCGTGCCAGTTCATAGAAGGAGATGCGATCGCGGAGATAGGTGGGGCCCGAACCGTTTATGGCAGGTCATGACCTGCACCTTGAATCTGGCTCGGCAACTTATCGGCAGCCAATGAAGCTGTTTTAATAGGCATGTTGTATGCTCCCTATAGTTTACTCCAGTAAGGAACCTGGCTGCCGCCCGTTGTACCAGTTCAAACTTCCAGGCCGTCTTCAAGGGCAGCCCCACGTAGAGCGCATTGCAATAGTCCAGTTTGGAAGTAGCCAAGGCGTGGTCAAGTCAGACTTCACGAGGTATGGTCGCAGCTGGCGCACAAGTTTGAGTTGTGCAAAGGCCCTCCCGGCCACCGCTGACACCCGAGCATCAAGCGACAGCGTTCAGTCCAGGAGTACCCCCAAGCTACGGTTCTGCGCCTTCAGGGGGAGTGTAACCCCGTCGAGCACAGGTTGCCACCCAATAGCCCGGTCGGCCCGGCAACTGACCAGGAGGACCTCTGTCTTGTCTGGATTAAGCTTCAACCTGTTAGCCCTCATCCAGTCCATCACAGCAGTCAGACACTGGTTCAAGGTCTGGGAGGCTTCCTTGAAATTCGGTGGAAATGAGTAGTAGAGTTGGGTGTCATCTGCGTACAGATGGCACCCAACTCCAAAACTCCGAATAGCCTCACCCAGCGGTTTCATGTAGATATTGAAAACCATGGGGGATAGAATGGAACCTTGCGGGACCCCACAGGTCAAAGGCCACGGGTCCGAGCAGGTATCCCCCAGCTTCACCAACTGGGAGTGACTGTCCAGAAAGGAGCAGAGCCACTGCAGTGCAATGCTCCCAAGACACATTCCAGAGAGCCTCCCCAGAAGGATACCATGGTCGAGGGTATCGAATGCCGCTGAGATATCCAGGAGAACCAACAGGGACACACTCCCCCTGTCAAGCTCTCTTTGGAGGTCATCCACCAAGGCAACCAAAGCCGTCTCAGTACCATGGCCAGGTCTAAAACCAGACTGTGATGGATCTAGATAGTCGGTGTCATCCAGAAATCCCTGGAGTTGGGAGGCAACCACCCGCTCTAGAACCTTGTCCAAGAAAGGGAGGTTAGAAATTGGCCGGTAGTTATTTAGGACCGAGGAATCTAGGGACGCCTTTTTGAGTAACGGTCTCACAACTGCACTTTTCAGGCTAGACAGAATATGTCCCTGTTCCAATGAGGCATTTATAATCTTTGAGATCCATTCGGCCAACCCCTCACCGGCAAGCTTGATTAGCCAGGAAGGGCAAGGGTCCAGGGCACAGGTGGTTGTTCTCACCGCTCCAAGAATCTTGTCCACGTCATCAGGCTGAACAGGTTGAAACGAATCCATCAAAACTGGACAGACAGGTATCTCAGTTACATCCATGGACACTGCATCAAAACTGGCGTCTAATTTGGAACGCAGTTGAGCGACTTTATCTGCATAATGATGTGCGAACTCGCCACATTGAGTTGCCAGGTGGTCAAGGTTCTCCCCACCCTGGTGGGGGTGAAGGAGCTCCCTAACCACCCAAAACAACTCTGCAGGTCTAGTAGATGCAGACGCAATGCGGGAAGTTGAGAAAGTCTTTCTGGTTGCCTTTATTGCCATGGAGTAGGCCTTAAAAGAGGCTCTAGCCCGTGTTCGGTCAGCTGCCTTTCGAGTTTTCCGCCAGTGGCGCTCTAGCCTCCGTCTTGCCTGCTTCATCGTTGCCAGCTCCCCAGTAAACCAGGGGGCTGGATTGACTCTGCGTAGCGAGAGGGGACTTTCAGGGGCAATCGTGTCCACCGCCTTGGCTACCTCCTGGTTATAGAGGTCAACCAGGGTTTTGACAGAACCGCCAGCCACCATGGCAGGAAAATCCCCAAGAGACATCAGGAATCCTTCTGGATCCATAAGCCTCCTGGGGTGGACCATCTTAATGGGTCCACCACCCCTGCAGAGGTTCGAGATTGCGGTAAGCCTAAGGCTGATCAGGTAATGGTCGGTCCATGACAATGGAAGAATTTTTAGCTCTTCCACACTGACATTACCCCCGTCCGCAATAAAGACCAGATCCAGAGTGTGACCACCTATGTGAGTGGGACCTGATACCACTTGGGACAGCCCCATGGTTGTCATGGCAACCACGAAGTCCTGAGTCGCACCAGACAGGGTGGATTCTACCTGGACATTGAAGTCCCCCAGCACTATTAGCCACTAGGACTCCAATGCCAAATCAGAGACCACCCCTGCGAGCTCAGGCAGAGAGACTGCTGTGCAGCGGGGTGGATGGTACACCAGCAGAATCCCCAACCTGTCCCGGTTACCCACTTTTAGGTGAACACTCTCAAACCCAGAACATTGCGTCAAGGGGCACCTGACCAGAGAGATGGATTCACGAAAGAGCACCGCAACCCCTCCTTCCTGCCCCCCTGGTCTGGCCTGTTGATGCACCCCAAAACCTGGAGGACAGAGCATGGCGAGGTTGTCCCCCCCCCCAACTCATCCAACCAGGTCTCAGTGATGCATGCTAGGTCCGCTTGTTCATCCAGGATCAAATCCTGAATGGCCACTGTTTTACCATTTACGGACCTAGCGTTTAGCAGCAGGACCTTGAGCCCGAAGGTCGCAGTTGTTGAGTCATGGTGGCACTCCATCCTATCTCGCCCCAGGGTCGCAGTTGTTCTGTTGCACTTCTCCATGGAATGGCATTTGCGAAAGCATCTACGTCTCCCCAGCACGACTTCAATAGTGGACCCCCGCTCCCGGGACAACCCTCCCACAAGGACATTATTCGATGGACTTAGAGGGGTAGGCAGTCAGCTGTCAGCATTCAATTGGGTGGAGGGCGTTATCCACAGGGAACTCTCAAGAGCAGCTTCCTGTATGGACAGACTGGTGGAAACTCTTGAGACCAGGGAGGGATAATCTAGGGACAGGGTTTGGGGCTCTATTTGATTGAGTTCCGATGGGGATGATTGGGCTAGGGACAGAGATTGGGGCTCTAATTGGCTAAATTTTAATGGAGGTGACTGGTCTAGGGAAACGGTTAAGAGCTCTAATTGGCTAGATTTTAATGGAGTGGACTGGTCCGGGGGCAAGGTTAGGGGCTGTATTTGACTAAATTTTGATGGAGTGGGCTGATCTAGGGGCAGGATTTGGAGCTCTGTTTCACTAAATTTTGATGGAGTGAGGGACCTTAAGTGGAGGTCTACTTCACTATTGTGGGTCTATAGATCAAAAACAAGAGGCCCCTGGGGACTGTCTGAGGGTTTCCCGGATTGGCTCCCTACTACAAGTCCCTCTAGTAGTGGGCAGGTGACTAAGTCTTGGAACACCCTTTTTACTTGAATCCCCCAACCCTGGAAAGACGATCTACGCAACAAAATATCCCTGGGGGAGTTAACACCTTAGACTTGGTTTTCTAAAGCAGCTCCTTGGTGAGTAGCAACTGTAGGATCTTTGTGTTATAGTCCCTGTTCAACCATGTTACTGATTCGATGTTTATTTCCAATTGATGTTTCATAAGGATCTGCCCTAGGGACCTCTGCCAAGGGGACCATGGAGCTGTCCCAACAGGTATCTGACCCTACCCACAGTGCTGGCCACACCTTAGACTTGGTTTTCTGTCAGGCATGGGAGGAAGGTGGCGGTGTGGAGGAGCTGACTATCGCTCCGTTGCCATGGACCGACCATCACCTACTCAGGTTTAGACTCACTGCATCCCCTAACCTCCACAGGGATGGAGGACCCATTATGATGGTCCGCCCCAGGAGGCTTATGGATCCTGATGGATTCCTGATGGCTCTTGGCGAATTTCCCGCCACCTCGGCTGGTGATCCTGTTGATGCCCTGGTCACTCTCTGGAATGAGGAGATGACTAGGGCAATAGACACGATTGCTCCGGAACGTCCCCTCTCAACTAGCTGAGCTAAAGCAGCTCCTTGGTTCAACGAGGAGTTGGCAGCGATGAAGTGAAGGAAGAGGAGAGTAGAGGGCGTGTGGCATCCGGATCCAAGCGAGTCAAATTAAGCACGGCTTGATGCCCTCTCAAAGGCATATGCCGTGGCAATAAAAGCTGAAAAGAGATCTTTTCTGGCAGCTAATATTGTGTCCACAAGGAAACGTCTGCCAGAGCTGTTCCGAGTTGTCAGAGGCCTATTAAATCCCACCGTTCAGGATGGGAGACCTGACAACTCGACAGCCCGCTGTGAAGTGTTTGCTCAGTTTGATCCGTTCTGGTCTGGACACCATGTTAACGGCAGTCTCTGAGAATGTAACACGAGTACCTGCTTGTCTGATTTTGATGGATTCATTTCAATTGGTGAAACCTGAGGATGTGGACAAGATACTTGGAGGGATGAGAGCAATCACATGCATCCTAGACCCCTGCCCATCCTGGCTTTTAAAGGAAGGAGGGGGATTGGCCAAATGGGTAAAGGTGGTGGTTAATGCCTCCCTCCAGGAAGGCAATATTCCAGCGAGCTTAAAACAAGCTGTGATAAAACCGCTGTTGAAGAAACCAGCACTGGACCCCACTCAATTCGTCAACTATCGGCTTGTTTCCAATCTCCCCTTCTTGGGCAAAGTCCTGGAACGTGTGGTGGCCTCACAACTCCAGGTATTCTTGGAAGACACGGATTAGCTGGATCTGACACAGTCTGGCTTTAGGCCAGGGCATGATACAGAGACAGCCTAGGTCACCTTAGTGGATGATGTACGCTGGGAGCTAGACAGGGGTAGTGTGTCCCTGTTGGTTCTGCTGGACCTCTCAGCAGCCTTCGATACCACAGTATCCTTCTGGGATGTCTCGCGGGAATGGGCCTTGGAGGTACTGTTTTGCAGTGGCTCCGGTCCTTCCTAGAGGGTCTCTCCCAGATGGTGTTATTGGGAGACGCCTATTCAACCTCACAACCATTGTCTTGTAGGGTTCCTCAAGGCTCAATACTGTTCCCCATGTTGTTTAATATCTACATGAAGCCGCTGGGGGAGATCAACCGGAGTTTCGGGGTGCAGTGTCACCTGTACGCAGATGACGTCCAACTCTGTCATTCCTTCCCACCTGCTACTAAGGAGACTCTTCAGGTCCTGAACCGGTGCTTGGCCACTGTGTTGGACTGGATGAGGGTGAACATATTGAAACTGAATCCAGATAAGACAGAGGTACTCCTGGTCAGTCGAAAGGCCGAAAGGGACATAGGGTTACAGCCTGTGTTGGACGGGGTTACACTCCCCCTGAAGACGCAGATTTGCAGGTTGGGTGTGATCCTGGACTCATCGCTGAGCCTGGAACCCCAGGTTTCGGCGGTGACCAGGGGAGCATTTGCACGGTTAAAACTTGTGCGCCAGCTGCGCCCATACCTTGGGAAGTCTGGCTTGGCCACAGTAGTCCATGCTCTGGTTACATCCTGTATAGACTACTGCAACACGCTCTACGTGGGGCTGCCTTTGAAGGCTGTTAGGAAGCTTCAAATGGTCCAACAGGCAGCAGCCAGGTTGTTAACAGGAGCGGCGCTCAGGGAGCATACAACTCCTCTGTTGCGCCAGGTCCACTGGTTGCTAGTTTGCTACCGGGCACAATTCAAAGTGCTGGCTTTAGCCTTTAAAGCCCTAAATGGTTCCGGCCCAGTTTACCTGTCCGAACTCATCTCTCCCTATGAACCACCTAGGCACTTAAGATCATCTGGTATGGCCCTGCTCTCGGTCCCGCCCCCTTCGCAGATGCGATTGGCAGGAACGAGAGACAGGGCCTTCTCAGTGGTGGCCCCTTGGCTATGGAACGCCCTTCCTAGGGATATTAGATTGGCTCCATCCCTCCTAACATTTCGAAAGAGAGTCAAAACCTGGCTGTTTGAGAAGGCATTTGCAGACGCAGTGTAACAGACTAATTGAGATCCACGGAACAATTGGACGATGCAACAGAAACATGATTTTAGTGATGAGATGCTGAGGACTTGTGTTTTATGGTTTTTATTGTTATATTGCTTTTATATGGTTTATATTATATGTAATGTTTTTAACTTTATTTATGTTGTTTGGAGGCATTGACTGCCAACTGTAAACCACCTCGAGTCGCCTCCGGGTTGAGAGGGGCGGTATATAAATATGGTAAATAAATAAATAGGGAGAGATACATTCAGATAGGTAAGCTGGGCCCTAACAGTTTAGGGCTTTATAGGCTAACGCCAGCACTTTGAATTGTGCTCAGTAGCAAATTGGCATCCAGTGGAGCTGGCGTAACAGGGGAGTTTATCAAGTGTGTGCTTTGGACATGGAAGGGCCTGCATTTGAGATCCCCGATACGAAGCATGGGGCACAAGGAAAATCATGTCAGTGTTATTGGACGGTGACTCCAAGCATGCAGAACCACTGAAAGCACTGGCCAGGGCTAATGTGAATTACATTCCAGGTACCAATTCCTCCCACCGGACCTGAAGGACCACCAATATGACCTAAACTCATGGCACAGCAGAGACCTTCAAGTCCTCCATTCCTGCAATGCCTGCTAAGTCCCCATGCCCAATTGCAGAAACTTACGGAAGGGAGTATCTCTTCCACAGGACCTTGGGAGATAGGGTCTGATAGACGGTTTTTGACAGCTTGCCTTCCGAGCTGGTGCTGCCGTGGCTGCTGTGGACAATCTTGGAGCACTCCATCTTCTCGTCCCAGGTGCCGGACATGACATAGAGCGCCTGGCCCTCTGCGTCGCTCACCACGCCTGACACCTGGGGAGACACAGCCCCACTGATTGGACCCAGGAACAAAAGGCATCTGGGCAGAGCCGGGCAAGGCCTACCCAATGCCACCCTGGGGGCTTACCCAAACCCGCTTCCTCCATGATAGACATACAGTCGATCACCAAGGACCTGTGAATAACCTTGTGGAGGAACTAATGATGAGTAATTAAATTACTTGTAATTCACGCCTCCCTCCCCTAACCAAGGGTATATGGAGACCTTCAAAACAAGTTTTACCTTTCGAGGGACATCTCTGGAGAAGTAGCTGTAAGGAGTGAATTTCAGCTGGCATTTGTCTTTTGATTTGTGGTTGATGATTTCGATATCCCCGGACTGGGACAAAGAAGAGAAGAGGGAAAGGAAGTTAATTTGGTTCTGGCCCAGGCTACCTGTCTGAACGTACCTTCCCCTACGAACCAGCTCGGAGACTAAGATCATCTGGGGAGGCCCTGCTGTCAGTCCCACCTGCCTCACAAGTGTGGCTGGCGGGGGAAAAAGACAGGGCCTTCTCAGTGGTAGCTCCTCGGTTGTGGAACTCCCTCCCTAGCAACATCAGATCAGCCCCCTCCCTTCTAGGCTTCAGGAAGAGAGTTAAAACCTGGCTCTGGGAGCAGGCTTTTGAAAATTAGGGCAATGCAGTATGTCGAATATAGAATTATGTGCAATTTGACCTTGGAATGGCCTTCGTGCTTGAACTCTGGATGGCATGTTTTTAACTTTGAATGTATTTTAAACGTGTCTAATATGTTGTAATTTTAAACTATTTTAAGGTGAATTTGTTGTTTTGAGGTGCTGTGTATGTGCCACTGTAAGCTGCGTTGAGCCCCCCTGCAGGGGTAGAGAAAGGCAGAGTATAAATATGGCAAATAAATAAATAAATAAACAATAAAGATCAGTGCCCCCAATAGCCTGTCAGGATGGACTCTTGCCTTGGACCTGGCCTTTTTGGTCCCCTCTACTGACCTGGTCAATCCAGAGTTTGCCCACAATGATGTTGTGAACTGTCGAGGTCACCTTGCGCCACACGTAATGGTTGCCACTGGAGTGGAATTCCAAGTGGATGGCACCTGCGAGACCAAAGAGAGGAAGAATGGCAGAATTCGGCACTTCCAGGACAAAGAGCTCCAAGGAGGGGAATGGGATACTCTCCCCTTTGCTGGATCCAGTTTTCTGTTGTGATCATAAAGGAGACATCACTAGTTCTCCAAAAAGATGGTCAACTGGCAAAAGTTTGTTGGCAGTCGGCCAAAGAGCCTCAACGGCTCTGTCACTCACCCAGTGGCATGATGGAGAGGTATTTGCCCCGGAACTTGCTGGCAATGGTGATTTCCTGCCATAGCGTCCAACCGCGCTTGGAATAGACATGATGGGCAGCAGCTGGAGGATGGTGACTCACCTGGGAGAGACAAGAAGAAAGGGACCCTGATGGTTTGGCCTCCAGAAGAGGAGCAAAGGGAAGAAAGCCAGGTCCACCACAAGCCACAGACCAAATAGTGACCCCAAGGGCCTTGGCAATCTGCTTGGAATTGTTGGCACTGCCCACAGTATCCCACGTGCCAACCCAGCTGCCTTACCTGCTCACAGAGGGACCGGAAGCCCATCTCATCCAGGCGATCCAGTTCATAGGTCTCCCCCAGGAGTGGGTTGAAGGGCTTGGCCGTTCGGTGGACCGTCGTGGAATATGAAGACACGGAGAAGGCGGCCACAAAGCACATCTGCTCCGCGGAACTCTCGCACTTGGCAGCTTTGTCCAGCAGCTCGTGGTACTCCAAGTCCTCCGTCAGTCGCTGCAGCATGGAAAGCGGCTCGTTGAAGTTGACCTGTGAGGGAGAAACCGGAAAGGATGGAACTCAAACAGAAGGAATGTCGTGCCTTCCACAGCGCTTGGCCCACTCAGTCCCCCAAAAGGAGCAAAGTGACCTCACATACAGGCATGGGGATCTTGGAGAGCTCTTTGCCAATGCAGTTCTTCATGATGCTCCAGAGGTTAAGGCTATAGTTGGGCTTGTCTGGGATGCGGGTCCGCCGCTTCTTCTTGGGCGCCACATCTCTGCCCATCGAGTCGAGGGTACTTTGGCTGGAGCTCTCAAACACCTGGAGAAAGAGGGGAGGGAAAGGGAGGGAAAGGGATGGTCAAACCCCAAGGCATTTGAGGACCATTCAGTCCACGACTGAGCCTTCTGAATTGCCAATACACTTACGCTATCCTCCAGGTTCCAGTCATCAGCACGACCTTCACTGGACCGGCTGAGGTTGCTGCCTGTGCGCCTACAGAGAAAACACAGGGCACAGTGGCAAGTGAGTGGCACATGGCCAGTAGGACATTGGGCCCAGAGAGCATCACAGATAGGAAGCCACTCCAATGTGCCAGTTCCCAGTGTGGCATTCTTACCAGCCCAATGCCTAGAGTCAGGGGGCTGGACAGTCAACCACGGGTTTTCCTAGACAGTCGTCGGCAGCATGGGAAGACTTGGCTAGTTGCAGGAAGTAACCCTTGAGCCCAGCAAATGGGCCAGGAGGGAGGAACACCTTTCAACACACTCAATGGAGCAAACACCAACCTAGCCCATTTTCACCAGGTTTGGGCCACTGTCAACAAAGGTGCTGGGGGGGAGTAAACCCACCGGTGTTTCAATGGATCCGCAGCTACTGTGATGAAAGCCTGGGCATCCTCCATGGCATCAAAGTACTCCGTCTCCTCATCTTCGTCGCTGGCTTCCCCTTTCACACTCTGCACGCTCCCCCCTGACACAGAGAAAGGGCCAGGTGAGCCATGTCCACATCTCCCGCCATGTGGGCCACGTGGGGTATTTGGGGACAAAAGGCGCACCTCACCTTTGGAGACGTGGCTGCTGGTGTTGGAGGTGTGGGAGGGGGCCCCCCGGCAGGCCCGCTCCAAGTGGTTGTGCTGTTTGGCCAGCTGCTCAATGGTCTCCTCCAGCCGGATGCGCTGCTCGCGCTCATGCTGGAGCACCCGCTGCCATTTCCGGCTGTGGGTGTCGGCTAACTCCAGGAAGTCCCGACAGGCCTGGGGAGGGGGTGAGATTATAGGTCAGCAAAGGCCACCAAAACCCCGAGAGACACGGCACAGTTGCCATACAAGTAGCCCTCCCTTCCCCTTGGGTTCAGTACCTGCTATGAGAGAATGGCAGTCAGTAAAATGGGTAGGCAAATCATGGTTTGGTTGGGATAGAAAATAACAACAATGATATAACTGGACGACTGACTAAGGGTGGTAACTGACGCTGACTGTTTTGCTCTCTGCCGTGTGAAACATGTTAGTGGAGCATTCCCAAGACGCGCCTCTGATGCACATACCCTTTAAGGCTAACAGGGTTTGACAGTCAGTCTTCAGCCTCCTCTATGGATCCACAGAGGGGAAAGGCGGGCCCCCAAGAACCGTCAGCCTGTCTTTCTAGGGCACACAGACGCGGCTGCGATCTAAAGCCAGTCTTGCCAACTGTGCCGCCTGACACGTAGCCTGGCACCAGCAAAGCCTTTCCTTGCCTCTGGACACCATGCCCACAGCTCCAAAACCATTTTTTAATAATTCAGGAGAAAGGGCAGATCCATTCAAGAAAAGTTTGATCTGTTTCTCAGGAAGGTTAGGGATTCAAACGCACAATCATCGGTGGCTTAAAGGTGCAGACAAATGTGGCATAATGGGACATAATGGGAGAGAGTCTCTTTTCCCTATCTAATCTACTGCGCCCCCCCCCCCCAAAAAAACAGCATTGTAATTCTTGCATAGAGGTCTTCTGCTGAAGAACGAACTTTGTTAAACCCAAAGCTACCACCCACCTTGCCCTCCATCTCCAAGGCAATACAATCGATGACTTGCAGGCCACCTATTCATCATTCGAGATTTATACTCCGGAGTAATTTGTGGACAAATATCCGTGACCTTGTTTCTTCCCAGAGTCACGTTCCAAATGCCTTCTTTTCCTTTCTCCCTCCTTGCCCGGGCGTTCGTGTGGCTTCATGGGCCAGAGCGAAGTAGTGAACCAGGACAGTGGAGAGACGTCTCTGGAATGATTGGAGAAGCAAGGCCCTTTTGAAGTGGATCAGTGGGTGGGCAGTGGGCTAAGCCCAGCCCCGGGCCCAGCCTGAAGGGGGACACTACATCCAGACGCATCGGGAGTTTGGTTAGGCCGGGTTGCAGGACACAGAACGGACCATGGAACGTGGACATGTGATCTTACCCTGGTTGTAGAAGACAGCCTCCAAACTCAAGGTGACTGAGACAACTGGGCAATCCAAGCGTGGAGCCATTCAGGAATCCCACTGTGCCACATCCTCCCTTCAGCAAGTGAAAATACAGCCAGGATGTCACTTTCCTCCTTGTGGAAATTGACCAGAAGCCTCTTCTCTCAAGTCAGAGAACACTGTGCTTCTGTCTCCGTGGCCAAGGCATCAAATTCCTTCCCCAAATGAACGTTTTTGGCAGGATTAAGACAAGTGGCTGACCGAACAGACCCAAAGGTGTAGTGCCAGAGATTCAACAGCAGCAAGCGGGAAAGAGAAGCCTCAAGTTTCCAGTTATCAGCACCAAACAGCCATGGGGCTTGAGGATCTGGTCATTGAGGAATATCAGAAGAGCCGGAAGACCTTCAGCACCTTGTCCTCAAAAGGACTGCTTTGTGGTTGCTTCCAGCCATGAAGACACTGTTGCTCCAAAAGGGAAGTCCCTGGGACTTCGGGGCCATCATCTTTCATTCTCAAGGAAGAGTGAGCAAAACATGTGGTATCAAGAAACCATCACCTAGCAATGGCATGGCAACCATTGGGCAAGCATCTTGGGTTTCCCATCTCAGAAAGGGATGGATACACTCATCCCTGGAGAGGCTGGTGACCCATGATGAACCCATGCCGGGTTTTAGTCTGAACTTTAAAGGAGTTAGCAAACCAAAGTGCTACTTAGACTTCAGAAGCATGGATAACCCTCTGAATCTTTCAACAAGTGAAAGCAGCTGCGTTGCCCAGAAACAGGAAAGAAAGACAGCGGATGAAATACTCCCGTATCGGCAGAACCGACACACGGGGTTTCACTTCTTCGTAAACCCATCGTCCTGGTCTTCTCTGTGATTTTCCCTGCAGCCCAGAGACAAGCAGAAAGGTCTTCAGGAAAGCAGGTCAAAACAGAGAAGGAGAGCCATGTGACTTTTTAAAAATAACCGTGCCGAGCCCGGTACGAGACTGGGCCATCTGTTTGCTGTCTTCCCAACCCTGGCACAGAAATGCCGCCGAGAAACAGAGCAGCATCCAGGCATCCGTCGAAGGGGAAATGGCTCTGCCGTCACAGCCCAGCGGTTATCAGGAAGCCCAGGGCCTTATCTGCGCTCCTTCCTCTGTACCTGTTCTAGTCCATTGATGGTTCAAGTGCTGTCATTCCACAGTGTAGATAGAGGAACTTCACCTCCCAAAGGGTTTTCAGCCTCGCCCTCCATGCTGCTCTTGGTGCCACTTCAATTTTGCCTCTTTCCAAACGTTTTGCCTCTGAGCACCAAAAAAAACGAAAGAAGGAACAAGCACCTGAGAGCTTTCTTGAGGCTCGACAAAAGGCCAGCATCCGTTCGCTTTCATGCCTTCACATTTGTTCTCTCTGGGTGGGGATGATCCGAATACATTATTTTATGCGGGGAGGGGTGTGTGGAGCAGATCGTAAGAGTGCGTCCATGGGTTTAGGGGGAGAACGAGATGAGGGGGGCAAGAAACATCTTGCTCCAAATGGGGTCTTGAGTTCAAATGTAATTGTTAATGCCAATTGAAGCTGAGAGGGTGAATCAATGGGTTGGCTTGCTGTTGCTTGGGTTGGGACTTGCCCTTAAAAATGCCTTCAGGACACAAAAGCAAGGGATGTGGCAGATGGGGATATGTGGGACCTGACTCAGTGTTTCTGGCCCAAGACGGTCGGGTGGCAATCTCTCTCTTAGGTCAAAAGATCCCAAAGGTGCCTCTGATCTTGGAGACCCCGGTGGCGCAATGGGTTAAACCCTTGTGCCTTCAGGACTGAAGACCGACAGGTCGCAGGTTCGAATCCGAGGAGAGGGCAGATGCTCCCTCTGTCAGCTCCAGCTCTCCATGTGGGGACATGAGAGAAGCCTCCCACAAGGATGGTAAAACATCAAAACATCCGGGTGTCCCCTGGGCAACGTCCTTGCAGACGGCCAAGTCTCTCACACCAGACGCAACTTGCAGTTTCTCAAGTCAATCCTGACACAAAAAGCAGCCTGGCCTGTGTTGGGATTTGGAGGAGAGACCACCAAAACATCCCCGGCCCGATTTCAGAGGAAAGAAGGGACCAAACGACCTCTGAGGATCCCAGCCCTAAGATAACCTTCCATGGGGTCACCGTAAGCTGGCGGGAGACGTGAAGGCGCATGCAGATTGGCCTCGGGAAGAACAAATGTGTGCATTGCACAATGTCAATTATCCCAATGTTTAAAAAACCAGGAGGCTATGTAATGTTCAGATGGCCATCCCTGAGTGACATTTCTGAAATCTGGCAAATGAAGCCATGAGGAGCCGTTTAACCAGCCACCCTTGTGCCTCCCATCCTGCCATTGCTCCTTTAGCTCCTGAACAGGGAAATCCCAGTTTCAGCTCCTCTAAATCCTACCCAGCAGGGAGAAGCCGGGGAGCGGGTGTGAGTCCACCCATGCAACTTGCTGGAAGATTAGCCAAAGAACAAGGGCAAATCCTTCAGCAGAGCTTATGTTCAAACACAGTTGCTGTCATCTCCTTGTTGCTCCATATTTAATGCTGATTTCGTTTTCCTCCGGAAAAAAAATCAATCAACTGAGTGTTCTTTTGTGAATCCATTTCTTAGCAAGGGATGGATTATGCTGCCAGAGAGGACGGGGAAAAGATGGCAAGGAGGTGGGCATGGGGGAGAGACAGTCTGATGATGATGATAAGAATACAACAACAAAACTTTATTTATATACCGCTCTATCTCCCCAAGGGGACTCAGAGCGGTTTCCAAGTAACATAATCAATACATAAAAAGTAAACAACATAAACATAAAATTAATAAGACAATATAAGCATTAAAAATCACAATAGCACATATATATTTAAAATAATCCTGCCTGTTCAAGGCAATTTAAAAGGCCGGGCCGAGGCTAGTGCAATTTGCAGAGGGCCTGGGAAATTAGGTAGAGTCTATGGCTGTTTATTTCTGGGGCCTAATAGGAGGAAGTAACCTGGGTAAAATGGTAGAAAAAGATATGGCCATATTCAACAGTATCTGGGACTGAGCTAGAACTAGTCGTTCTTAAAGGCTTGTTTAAACCACTAGGTCTTCAGGCTCTTACGAAAGGAGGGGAGGGATGGAGCCTGTCTTATTTCTCCAGGAAGGGTGTCCCAGAGGTGGGGGGCTACCACCGAGAAGGCCCTCTCTCTCGCCCCACCAACCGTGCTTGTGACGGTTGTGGGAGCAAAAAGAGGGTCTCTCCGGAAGATCTTAAAGTTTGCGCCGGTTCATAGAGGGAGATGCGATTGCGAAGATAGGCAGGGCCCAAACTGTTTAGGGCTTTATAGGTCATACCCTGCTGCTTGAATTTGGCTTGGCAGCTTATCGGCAGCCAGTGAAGCTGTTTTAAAAGGGGCATTGTATGCTCCCTATAGTTTGCTCCAGTAAGGAGCCTGGCTGCCGCCCGTTGCACCACTTGGAGCTTCTGGGCTGTCTTCAAGGGCAGCCCCACATAGAGCGCATTGGAATAGTCCAATCTGGATGAAACCAAAGCGTGGACCATGCTGGCCAAGTCGGAATAATAATAATAATAATAATAATAATAATAATAATAATAATAATACAAATTTATTTATTTATTTATTTATTATTTAAACTTATATGCCGCCACTCCCCTGGGGCTCGGAGCGGCTTACAAGAATAGCTAAAATCTAACAAAGTTTAAAAGCAATTTAAAACAATTTAAAAACAACAGTATCAAACATTAAAAGCCTGTCGGAACAGGTATGTCTTACATGCCCTGCAGAAAGCTGGTAAGTCCCGCAGGGCACGAACTTCAGATGGCAGAGCATTCCAGACTGATGGCGCCACTGCTGTGAAGGCTCTGCATCTGGTTGCTGTTAGACGCAAGGTCTTGACACTGGGGACTTCCAATAGATCTTGGTCCTCAGAACGGAGGGATCTCTGGGGTTGGTAGGGGGTGAGACGATCCCTCAGATACATTGGCCCCAGACCATGCAAGGCCTTAAAGGTGAGTACCATCACTTTGAAAGTGATCCGGTGCTCAATTGGTAACCAATGCAGCTGTAGTAAGATTGGTGTTATGTGGCATCTCATCGGAATTCCCGCAAGAAGCCGAGCAGCTGCGTTTTGTACCAACTTGAGCTTCCGAATCACCGATAGAGGGAGGCCAATGTAGAGGGCATTACAGTAGTCCAGTCTTGAGATGACCGTGGCCTGGATCACCGTAGCTAGGTCATCCCCATGCCTCCTTCCCCATGTTTCTGTGAGTCCTAGTACAATTTGGGGAAAGGGACCCAGGTCAGATCTAGTGCCGATGTGCCTTCAAGTCACATCGGCATAATGGGGTTGACTTATGACAACCCCATACATTTCATAAGGTTTTCTGAGGCAATCCCTTCCTCTGAAATGTTGCCTTTGGCCCCTGGGATTCCTTGTTGTCAAAGCAGCCAGCAGCTCAATTCGTAGCATTCACCTTCCTTAATCTCCATTTAGAAACTGCTGACTACCCAATGAACAAAATAAATGGCAACAGCGTTTGTACAGATGCGACAGGGCAAGCACAGCATTTTTTAAAACCTCTTTCCCATTAGCTCCAATTCCACAGGGCCCCACTCACTTCCCTGGAGAGCAAATCTAGATCTAGATCTATGGCCCTGCAAAACAATTGGGCACAGGTTGTTGCATGTGAGGAAGGGCACACATTGACGTTCGAGGAGATTATAACCCAGTACTGTGAAAGTGCCGCTATTTTGCTTTACTTCCGATAGCTGTGGAATCCTGGGATGTGCAGTTGGGGGGAGGGGGCTATAGAAATCAGGCCCTATTAAAGTACAAATCCCAAAATTCCACAGGAGGTTGGCACAGCAGTGAAAATGGAATAGCAGGGCTTTCACAGTGCCGCGTGATAATCTCACTAGACAGTCACTCTGTGGACTTTGGGGTCAGGCACAGCATAGGAGGCCAAGGAGACTTGGCACCCATTGGTGTTGGCATTGGGCTGCCCACTTATGCCAAAGTGTCAGAGAGGGACTTGAAGGGCAAGCCGAAGGCCTCAATGGAGAGCCTAGTTAGAACGTTGTCTCCAAAAACACATATTTCCTCCCTCTTGAAGAGGGCCAGCTGAAAGGCTGGGTGCCCTTTCAAAACAGCTTGGCAGATGCTTAGGAAGGAGTGCCATTCAGTAAATGTTCAGCAGGACGTCTGTCAGGAAATCGGGGAACAGAAGAAGGGAAGAAGCAGCCGTGATTTCATCAGCCATTCAATGCACAGGCTTTTGTGCTGCTGTCAATGGCACATCCGCATTCATTTCCAGGGAAGAGTTGCCTTCTGCCCTCGGTGCCAAGGTGTTTTGCTCTTCTCTCTGACATTGTGAGATGCCAAAGCCCTATTCCTTCTGTCTGAAATCATTCTCAAAACACCAACATCTCTCCCTCCTCTTATGAGCAAGGCTATGTCTTGACCTGGCATTGTGCTTGGTTTCCGATTGAGAGATCCCACCGATGCCATTCCTTGGTCTTCCGCCCACGGGAGCCGCGAGCAAGAACAAAAAGCATGGAAGATCCCACTGGTCGGCTTAGGTCTCAACAACACCTGGACACAAAAGCACTGCGAGGGGCCCAAAAGCCGAGGCATAATTTTGCCAAACCCCAGAGAGACAAAACATGGACAAACATGGATACCCTGGCAACGTCAGAGCGGAAATTATTCAACTGGGAGTCATAACAATGAGAGCTGGAAAAGCCCACTGTGCTGAAAGGTAAACATTGCCATAGCCAATTTTCTCAGAGAAGAAAATTCAAAACAAAGAAGGCCTTTGCCTATAAAGGCAGGTACAGACATCAAAGCAGGGATCAAAATGATATTCAGAGGATCACAACTATAAGAATGGTTATTTTGGTTTTTTCTGCAGAGCATTCCAGCACTTCAGTGACCTGGAATAACCTTGTATTGGCAAAACAGAAGAGAGGCAACTGGGCAGCTTTCAGCCATTCAGCCCAACTACGAACCTCTTGGGATCCAAGGGGCTCACCTTCCCGTACCTTCCCCAGCTCTTTTCCTCCATTGGGCCCCCTCTTCCCCACATCCGGTCCTCGCCCATGCAGTCCCGAAATGGCAGGCAGCGCAGCTATTTTTATCTCCAGCAATACAGGCACCCCCTCCTCTTTATCTCCATCTCTACCGGGGAGGATTTGCATAATTGGATCATCGGTGCAGCACACAAAACACCCCGCTGAAGACCTGGGAACTTTGGGCTGCAAAGGCAACACTCCAAACGCCGAACCCATGCAACCGTGGCAGCTGCCAGATCCAAAGCAGGGAGCAAAATGGAGGCGGTGCTCTGCCACTCTGCTGCAGATGAAGACCTCGGGAAACAAGGCGACGGGCAGGACCTGCACCTCCACACCTAGAACACCCTGCCTTCCTCTCACCCACAAGCAGGCACACAGACTTACACGGAGGATGCTTCCAGCCAACGCCTCTGCTTTGCTGTGCTGCTGTACGACTCCCAGGCTCGCACTGGCAACGGAGCAGAAACCACCTAAGCCCATCCCAATGACGATGGGCGATTTCAATGCCAGCCCCCCTCCCTCCTAGCTCTGACCTGCCTTCCCAATTCGGCCAATCGGAGCAGAATTGAACACAGCCCCATTGGAACCCAGCTTCGTGCCAATCCAAACCTCCTGATTAGCAGGAATCGGGGAGCAAGAACATTGGGACAAGTGGTGGGCAAAGGTAAGAGATGAGTGCAACCCACGTGAGAAATTATCCATACCAGCTCTGCCAGGGAGGCCTAGCCATTTCCCCGCTGCAATGAGTTACCCAGACTGAAGGGGCACCAACAAGAAGAGAAGCAGGATTGGTATCCCAGCATCAGGGCCAGCAGGATTCTGGTGGGATGCCAATACCTGTCAATGGCCCACCATGGTAGGAGCCACTATTTGCTGGACGATGGGCCACCAATTCCCAACTGTGGGTTCTAACCTAATGGAGGAGGAAAACTATGGTGCCAAGCTTGGGATCCAAAAAGAAAGAAGGGGTTATAACTCTGGGAAATAATGGTGACTGTCTATATTGGACCACAGGCCTGAAATCCACCAGTGTCCCAATTCTTCCAGCATACCCAGGAATCTTTTGGGGCATATGCCTCAGAAGCGACCTGACGACCTTCTTGGTTGCACAAGAACAAGAGTGGCAGCAATGGGGGGAAAAGGCCTGTTTAGTTCCAAGCTGCCCTTGCCCTGAATGCCAAAGCATGATGGGAAAGTACCTGTGCCCTTCCTAGGTTGCTTTGGCTTGCAGGACAAACCCAAGGAAACACTGGTAGCCTGGGCAGCTCAGGGATGGTCTTCTTGGCCCACAGCTGACCCTCCTAGCCCTGTTTGTCCTGTTATTGTTGCCATGGCATAAACAGACTAGCAGAACAACAATGTCTCAGAAGTGGGTGTCTTCTAGGTCATGCCCTCTGGGTTTTCAGTCCATCCCTCATATCAAGTCCAGCCTGAAACCAAGAGTAGATGCTCTGCCCCACTGGCTTCAGTCCACCAGGTGTTGAGCTCACCCACCCCAAGCCCTATGCTAGACCACCCAAGATGCACGTTGGAGACAAGGCCACCAAGAGACAGACCAGACCCTGGCCCAGAAGAGCCCCACTCACATTGATCATAGCATTGGAGGTGATGCGGAAGAGGGTGGCGCGCTCATTGACAGCCTTGATCTTCTCCCCACTCTCCGCCGGCAGCTTGAGGTTTTCCAGCTCACTCAGGGAGCGCTGGAGGGCCGCCCCGTGTTTGGCCAGCAGGTCGTTGCAAGTGCTGAGGTCCTCCAGCTTATTGGAGAGGTTCTTCAGCGTGCCGTGCAGCTCGCTCTTGTCAGACTGCGAGGCCGGTTCCTCATCGCCCGAATCATCTGCGGAGGGGAGGGAGGGGAGACAAAAGGGTTGCTATGGTTACCAGCCGGGCAGGCGGCGCAAAAGTGGGGAAGTGGTGCAAGGCCCAGTATGGACACTGTGAGCGCTGGGGTTCAAGGGAGGCTGGGCAAGGTTGTCCTGGATGAGGCTTTCCAGGCCTGCTCACTGCCCTTTAATACTGTTATCCTACCATGCCTTTGTGCAGAAAGTTACCTTTGTTCATCACTTAGCATAGCCATTATTATTATTATTGTTGTTGTTGTTGTTGTTGTTATTATTATTATTATTCTGTAACCCGCCTCTGCTTGTGGCGGGTTACAGAATAAAAAAGATGGGCACTTTCCAATAAAAGTCATTTTAAGTCCAATTCAATGGCCATTCATGGATTCCAAGTATACAGCACTTAGGATGGGTCCTGAGATCTCCAAACCAGAAAACACTTCTTTGTTCAACACACTTTTTTCTTCATTACCTAGACTGAAGTCTAAGAAAGCTGATCCTACCAACTCCTTTCTCTTATCACTTAGTTTCTTCCCTGCGTAGTAACAAGGACTCAGCTTGCGCCCGGAGGACTTCATAACTTCATAACGCATGCATTCAAAGCAGCAGGAAGTCTGCCCCCGTGCCCAGCGGTCAGCGCAGCATATGCCACCGCTCAGAAGGAATTGCAGCTGCAAGGTAAGGGGCCTCACAGCTGGAGAAAGAAAGCCGAATCCTGGGCAATGGGAGGAAGGAAATACCAACATTGAAAACAAGGAGATCGGTAGACAGCGGATCTGGGAAGGTGAGTGGCTTGAGAACGGGCTCAGCACCATAGGCACCTTGGTCAGAGGACTAGCACTATGGTTGTCCCTCAAGGAGATTCGGCATAATGAACACCTCCTCGAGAACCCAAATATCAGGCCCAGGAGGTTCAGCCCAATGGACACATCCTGTAAAACCCAAATATCAGGCCCAGGAGGTTCAGCCCAATGAACACCTCCTTGAAAACCCAAATATCAGGCCCGGAGGTTCAGCCCAATGGACACCTCCTCAAACACAAATATCAAGCCCAGGAGGTTCAGTACAATGGACACCTCAAAAACACAAATATCAGGCTCAGAAGGTTCAGCACAATGGACACCTGCTCAAAAACCCAAATATCAGGCGCAGGAGGTTAAGCATAATGGACACCTCCTCAAAAACACAAATATCATGTCAAGGAGGTTCAGCCCAATGGACACCTCCTCAAAACACAAATATCAGGCCCAGGAGGTTAAGCACAATGGATATCTCCTCAAAAACACAAATATCAAGCCCAAAAGGTTCAGTACAACGGACACCTCAAAAACACAAATATCAGGCCCAGGAGGTTCAGCACAATAGACACCTCCTCGAAAACCCACATATCAGGCCAAGGAGGTTCAGCCCAATGGACACCTTCTCAAAACACAAATATCAGGCCCGGAGGTTCAGCACAATGGACACCTCCTCAAAAACACAAATATCAAGCCCAATGGACAATGGACACCTCAAAAACACAGATATCAAGCCCAAGAGGTTCAGCCCAATGGACACCTCCTCAAAACACAAATATCAAGCCCAGGAGGTTCAGTAAAATGGAAACCTCAAAAACCCAAGTATCAGGCCGGGAGGTTCGGCCCAATGGACACCTCCTCGAAAACCCAAATATCAGGCCCAGAGGTTCAGCCCAATGGACACCTCCTCGAAAACCCAAATATCAGGCCCAGGAGGTTCAGCACAATGGACACCTCAAAAACCCAAATATCAGGCCCAAAAGGTTCAGTACAATGGACACCTCAAAAATCCAAATATCAGGCCCAGGAATTTCAGCACAATGGACACCTCCTCAAAAACCCTAATATCAGGCCCAGGAGGTTCAACACAATAAGAAAAACCCAGAACGAAACTTAGGAGTGGGTTTATTGCTCCCATCTGAGACCAGACAAATTTAAAGTGCCAGGAGCTTTATAGCAAGAGGTGACAACCCTAAGTTGACACTGAAATGGCTGCATTCACTCACGGTTTTAAACCTTGTCCCAGATCAGTGGTGGCTAACCTATGACATGCGTGCCAGAAGGGGCACACAGTGCCTTCTCTCCTGGTATGCACGGCATCACCTGCCAGAGAAGCTGGAAATGGTTCCATCAGTTGAGCTTCTTGAGAAGCCTTTGTGCCGATTCCCCTCTCACTCTAACGAGCAATCGAGCTTGAAGGGCCTCCTCAGCTCGGTAGAAATCCAAGCACTTCAAAGTTAAAAACAGAAGCCGAGATCCACAGGGACCCGCGCCCACGGGATGTGCAGGCCTTGATGACGGAAAGACGCCCAGATGAGAAGGAAATGAAAGGAACTGCTGGAGACAGAGACGGCACCAAGCGGGGGGCAAGCAAAGGCATGGCTGCTGGAGAAACATCCCAATTAAGCTGACACATTCCTCCAGCAAAGGAGACCCGCTGTTTCTGGCGCTCTGATGCCCACACAGGGGGCACATGGCAGAGGGAATGAGAACACGGCTTCCGGCTGAGCCAAGATGGTAAGGAAAGGCTTGAGGAGCACAAATCGCACGGGACACCAGTGCTAAAGCTACGGAGACCCTGCGAATGCTGCGCTGCCATGGAGAGGCTTTGATTTGGGAGCTGATCGTAACAACAAATGCCTCTCAATGCTTACTGTCAGATGGAACCTCTATACCAGTGTTTTTCAACCTTCCTAATGCCACGGCCCCTTAATACAATTCCTCATGTTGTGATGACCCCCAACCATAACATTCTTTTCATTGCTACTTCATAACTGTAATTTTGCTACCGTTATGAATTGTAATATAAATATCTGATATGCAGGATGTATTTTCATTTACTGGACCAAATTTGACACAAATACCCAATATGCCCAAATGTGAATACTGATGGGGCTGGGGGGGGGGGGTTGATTTTGTCATTTGGGAGATGTAGTTCCTGTCATTTATAGTTAACCTACAATCAAAGAGCGTTCTATATTCCACCAACAATGGAATTGAACCAAACTTTGCACACAGAACTCCCATGACCAACAGAAAATACTGAAAGGGTTTGGTGGGCATTGACCTTGAGTTTTGTAGTTGTAGTTCACCTACATCCAGAGAGCACTGTGGACTCAAACAATAATGGATCTGGACAAAACTTGGCAAGAATATTCAGTACGTCCAAATGTGAACACTGGTGGAATTTGGAGAAAACAGACCTTGACATTTGGGAGTTGTAGTTGCTGGGATTTATAGTTCACCTACAATCAAAAAGCATTCTGAACCTCACCAAAAATAGAATTGGGCCAAACGTCCCACACAGAACCCCCATGACCAACAGAAAATATTGTGTTTTCTGATGGTCTTTGGCGACCCCTCTGACACCCCTTCATGACCCCCCCCCCAAGGTGTCCTGACCCCCAGGTTGAGAAACGCTGCTCTATACCTTCCTGTCACTGGACTGGAGTATGTTTAATATCTGTACTACAAATCCCAAAATCCCCCAGCCAGTGGTCAACAGATTTTGCCCACTTTGTCTTTTTCTCCCTGGAGGTGTGAATGAATGTCAGGAATACACACAAGTTCCAAGTTGTCTTTGGGCCCCTTTCAGGCCACACAGTCACTGAGGATAAATTCCACTGGGATGTCCAGGGCAACCTCTTATGGCATCCAAGGGCCACCGCTTTGTTACTCTTGACTGGTACAAGTTTGGTTTAAAGTTTAAGACCAGCTTAAAATAAACCACAGGTCTTCAAAGTCTTGGAAAATTGTCTGGGAAGGTGTTCCAAGTCAACCGGAGGAAGTCTTGAGGCTTCAGAAGGTCACCAAAGCATGGCATGAAACCCAAGGGCAAGTCCTCCTATGCCATGCCAGGGAAATTTGGAGAAAGAGGGGTGGGCAAGAGGGGCAAGTCCTCAAAGGGAACCCACATACGCCATCCTAGTCAAGGAGAAGGATTTTGAAAAAAGAGCCATTCGCAGCATCCTTTGGGGGAAAAGCAACTCCATGGAGTCTCGGGATTCGCAAGGTCATCTGAGGACGCTTGCCTGCCTCAGCTGTTTGCTGGAGCTGGGCCGCAGCAAGAGCGGGAAGCATCTGCAGCCAACCAACTGACGTTGACTTCCGCTGCTTGCGCAGATTAGCAAGGATGCTGCAATGGTGATGCTGGAAAGCCCTTCCCCAGGGCATCTTTTGGGCAAGGGTGGGCCACCGCGCCAAGCAAAGGGAGTCACCCAACATCCCTTCCCCCAGAATCCTTCCCCTGTATCAGGGTCTGTGTGCAAAGCAAACAAAACTCTTGCCCAACAGCGATGGCATGCCTTAGCCATATGTGCTCACTTACAAGAGGCAAAGCAAAGCACAGCTGCCCCCAGAATCTCTCACTGAGCATGTGCAAAGAGCAAAACAGGGGAACAAAAGGAAGCACTGGCTCACTAACTGCTCCTTGCGTGCCAACTAGGCGAAGATGTCTATGTTTGGGAAAAGCCAGAGAAAGGAAAAGCGGGATGTATTTCTGAAAAGGCTTGAAGCTGTCTCTAGAAAGTCCCCAAAGGCTTTGTTGGCTACTGCAACTGCCCCCCGGGATGAATGGAGGTTCCAAAGGAATGTCAATTCTAGGATGGCATTTGGCACCATGGGCATCTCAGTCCCCAAGGCAACTCCATTCACCTGCGGAGATGGCGTCATTGCTTACAGAGAGACACAGCTACCTGACTCTCGTTTCTAAAAGTGTCAGCCAATATCCACTTTTAATCTTTGTGTAAAGACACTTTCCAGCCTTGGGTGCTTCTAGGGTTTCTGCATTCCCAAGGAAGGAGAGTGAATGCGAAGGGATCGACCCTCCGGCTTGTTCTTCCAGGGGCCCAAAGAGAGGTAAAGATGGGTCCTTCTATAACAGTGGTTCTCAAGCTTCCTAATGCCGCAACCCCTTAATACAGTTCCTCATGTTGTGGTAACCCCCAACCATAAAATCATTTTTGTTGCTATTTCATAAGTGT